GAGAAGTTAACTGTGTGCAGTGTTTCTCTGACATTCACAAGCAATTCTGTTTTCAGTGATACTCTTCTTCAAAATAGTAGGGGATAATATTGGACCTATGTGTTCGTTTTGTAAGTTGCTAAAGAGAGAAGTATTTGTGTGTGGAGGGGGTTTAAGACTGTGAATATCTGTGGCATCTGGGTGAAATTATGAACAGTAAAGTAACTATGAAAATTAGCTGGAATTTCACAAGCTGCTAAACTATGACCATCTAGGGCATGCTGAACGAAAAGGACATGTCTGAAGTAGAACATGCTAAAATGAGGAATGTCTGTTGGTACAGTCTGGCATGAAGCCAAGTGTGTACTGAATTAGGTCACTGCTTTAAGTGTGAATGTTTCCCCTCTTGAGAAAGAGGTACTCATCCTTTGCAACAAGGAACCAAAACAGAATGCTAATAAAATAAAAACAAATTTAAAAGCATTTTCAATTAGCATGCTGGTCTATTCCCTTGTGCTTGGAGAATCAATGAGCTCTTTTGTAAGGAACAGAAATGTTTCCATAGTTGAATATACATCAGGCCCTGGAAATGCAGGAAGAATAACAACCAGTTGCTTCTGGAAAACTTGCAAATCTTCGTAAGTATTGTATAAGCCTCAGATATCTTATTCTTTGGAAATCATAGGGAATATTGTAAACAGACTTATTTTGCAGAATTGAAATAACATGAAATATCAGCATGTGCAATTTAAAGATTTGGAGCTTAATCTTCAAACACTGAAGTGCTGATCCCAAGGTCTTCTGTGCGATTACTTATTTCCATGTAATCTTACTCTTCTTCAGATTGTGCCATGTGACACTGAATTAATTTTCCTATTGTGGTTCTTGGGATCCTATGTGATTTTGTTAATTCTGGGGTTTCACAGCCTGCTTTCTCTTGTTATCATCTTCTACAACCTGGAAGTACTTACTGGAATTCCTAAAATAGTGCTGTGCCAGACCTAAGTCATATCAAATTTGGGTTGTAAATATGCAAAACTAGTGCTTCTCTGATAAGAGAGCGTAGTGGAACAGAGGGCTTGTAAACCTGTCTTTGCTGATGGGGTGAGAATTAAGATTCTTATTGGCTTCACTCATACCTTGAGGGATGCAAGATGAAAATACATGTCTGACTCCCTTAGGATGATGACTCTTAGCAGAGGTAATACTGGGTGAGGGGAAGGGGAGGGAAGGAATAGATACACAAGTGTGCTGAAGCAGACTGACGCCCCTTCAGCTCTCCATGTGCAATTTAAAATTTTAACGTTGTTTAGCATAACTGTCTGCACAAACACTCCTGGCCTTTCAAGGAAAGTAGTGGGAAAGATGCCTGGTTTTTAATGGTGTTACATGAAAACTGTCAAAGATAAATAGGCAAAGCCTATCGTTCTGCAAAGAGGCTGTTTTGTTAATAAGATTGTCACTAGCTCACTAGAAAAGGGTTTTGACTAACGAAGGAATAATTAAAGCCTAGAAGGAAAAGAACCAGTGAGCTCTCTACAGCCTACCCCACGTAGTTTCCATTGCTTTAGAAACGGCTTATTGTTTCTCTTCCTTAAGCACCCCTGAAGGCAGTGTGCCACAAAACAGCCCTCTGGTGTAAACAGGGAAAGTGCCAGTAGGAAGACTCAGATATCTGCAGTTATTCCTAATCTTTTGTCGCTGTGTTGTGTGCAGTACAAGCGGCAAGTCCCTGTAGAGGCATGCTGGCTTTCTTAATCCATGCTTACCATAATGATGTACCTTCGGCCACAGTTAAAATTATTAGGAACAGAGTGGTTCTTTCATTGCCCCCTGCTATTGTCTGAGGTAATCTTAATCTCCTGGTACATTGTGTCCTCTTGACACGTATCAGGAAATCTGTTGTCACTTGCTTCTAAGGCATGAATGAGACCTAAAGAAACTTAGTGACTCATCAAAGTGAGCACAGGGCAATTTATTGGTAGAGCAATAATTGAATAAAGACCTACTAGGCTAATGACCCACCTTTGGGGATGTCTGTTTATCACTTAAGAACAGTTACTGATTGTTTAAAGCCCATGGTGGTAGGAGATTGCGTGACTTTAGGTGGCAATGAACCAAATCTGGCCGTGGTGTGCAGCTGCCTGCACTGGCCATTATCAAAATGGGCTGTAAGTCTCAGCCTTGTTTTCCTATCTCATCCCCAGTACCAAAAGCATTTCTTCATAACTTGAAAAAAATATTTTTATAGTTGTATGGTACCTGTGTTTGTGTATAAGCAATGCAAAAATGTTGCTGTTCTTGATAGGCTGTGCAAGGAAAAATAGTTGGAATTGGGTTTGTCTATTTGTGCAAGTCAGGTAGTTTGATCATTTCTCAGTATGCTTCGAGTGATTTAAAATGTGCTAGCTTATGCATAGAGTGGCTTTTGTAGAGTCTAGTATTTATGTATGTTTAAAGAAACATACGGTTCTTTATGTAATTAATCATGGCTTCACCTTTTGTAGTCTTAACAGAACAAAAATCCAGGAAGAAATGTGAAAAATAGATCGTATAGGCAACTTTGTACTAAAGAAGACTTGGGATGATATGACGTCATTTCTGTGAACTGGTTTTATCCTGAAGATTGTTTTTCTTCTGTCTCCCTTGATTCACCCTGGTCAATAGTCTGAGGATACATCTGGTGTTGATCACCCTTTATAGGCATTTAACTTGCATTTATATAATACTGTATTTGTGCAGTGAGGGAGGGGTTGACTAACTTCTGTCTTATTTGGACTTAAAAGGATGTCATCTAGAGTTCAGTTCATAAAACTTACTTATTTTGTACCAAAGTGGCCAGTAGCTTTACATTGGTTGAGAAAGCTTAAGTTTCAGATAACTGTTGCCTTTAAGCTGCTCTATTAAGAACTTCTACCTAATGATTCCACTTTATTTGTGAACAGGGTCATAGACAGGGACCTTAGCACTAGAAATACTAGTAACTTCTTCAAGTAGTCTCGTAGACTTCAGATGGACAACTCTGAAGTGTGCAGCTCTTGCAACACTCAGTGTACATGACAAGCATGCAAAGTTAGGATCTGCTATCACAGGCACTGGTGTTGGTGGTGTGAATAAATTATTTAACTTTTCAGGCCTTGTAATGGGAGCTTCTTGCAAATGAGGATGCTAGATTTTGTGATACCACTGGTATGTGGTACATGATTCTCACTAAAGAATATCCTGATGGTCGAAGCTGGATGGGAAGGGAGAAATGTTGCAAGGTGTTTGTTGTAAATACATGGAGCACATCATGGCACCATGCCTTATTTACAAGGACAGAGGAAGATGGAGTTTGTGGCTGCTTGATGGTGTTAGATAACAGTGCAACCCATATATAGAAGGAATGTTGGAGGGGGCAATCTTTTTTCTAATGTTGTAAGCATACTGAAACTATACTGAAGTTACTCAAGTCCCAGAACTTCCCCCAAACAAGAATTACACAACACAGTCAAAATGGATGTAGAGCTGACAGATCACTGGATAAATTTTAATGAGCTTCACTACTTTTATACATCCAAGTTTTAAGCTAAAGTATTTTATTAATGTTAGAAAGTAGACCAACATGCATTGAGCTTACTTCTTAGCTCTTTATGCTGTTGTTGAAGAGGCCCATAAATTGTTCAGCTGACTGTCATTGCTGAGTAGGATTTTTGGTATCCCCCTCTTGTGTTACTGCGGTCTCTTTTCCCTGGCCTTTTCCTCCAAGCCTTAGTGATGTAAGAAGGTGACCCATGCAAATGGTCAATGCCTGTTGCTGCTAGCCTAACCAAATCAAAAGGTGGAAATGTTAGAGAATGGATAGTCTGAGTCTCCCTTTCATCAGTAGGGAATTAGGATTTGAATTTGAATCTCTTTTGAATTTAACTTATTCTGAAATGCTGTTTCTGTGAACTTTGATATTTAAATCTGCAAAACTTTACTTGTGAGTGAATGATTATTCGCTAAAAGATACTTACTTAAAATAAAAGCAAATGGAAGTGCAGACTTCTGTTGCTGCTGCTTCGAAACGGTTCTGGAATTTTTTTTCAGTTCAGAGGAGTAGGAAGGGCATGGTGGTTTTTTCTTCCCACAAAAGAAAACAAAGAAAAAACCAAACCCAAGAAGGAGTGGGGGAGTTAAAACAAAACTTGATGAGACTAGAAGAACCCTTACTGCTTTAGCTAACTATGTGAAAAATGTATTTCATTAGACTGTCCATATTGCTACTCTTCAGACACTATGTCAAAAGGAATCACTGATGAGTAATGGTGTGGAAAGAAATAATGTTTTTCTTTCTCCTTTTCCCACTCCCTCCTCCATGAATCCTTTGCATCCATGTGTTACAACTTTATGCATGTGTTTCCAAATGACTGGCTGCTTTGTAGCTCTAATATGCACCTTTCTTTTAATTTTAGGTTCTGACTTCATTTTGCTGACTCAAACCGCAGATTCCAAGGAAAGGAGGGGAAGTGGAATAAAATACTCAAGTGCCAGAGGAAAAGCCATACTACCCAATGAAAATAACTGTTACTAAGCTGTAGAGTGCTCTCACTTACACATAGAGGGAGAAAAATTGCTATTAACTCAAAGCTTATGAAATTACTTCTGCAGACTTTCCTCACTGAACTTCAAATAGACTAAAACCAGTCAAGTAGGCTTGAAATAGGAAATGGAAATATGACTCCTTGCTGGTATCTTCCATCTTCCTCACCCTCTGCAGGGTTTTTCGTTTGGGGTAGGAAATCCTGAACAAATTGTATGGCGTCAGCCAAGCTTACAGTTGATGGTTATGGATGACATAGGAACTTCAGATTTATGTCTCTGCAATGACACCTGATTAAGGCAAAGGTTGAAAACTGCTCATCAGCTACTTTATCAAAACTTGTAGTAACTATTGTGGTCATGCTTTCTCTGTCTTTCTAAGATTTGAACTCTGGGGTGATGTCCCCTGTAAAGCATGAGCAGATAAGTCATCTTTTTGAATTGGAAGTGGTAGTAATATGAGAATGCCCAGAAGAGGCTTAGTAATTCAAGCCAGGACTCGTTGGCTATTAGTGGGTCTTGCTTTACTATTCAGTTTAGTCTTGCTCATGTATTTGCTGGAGTGTGCTCCACAAACAGACAGTAATGGATCTCTGCCTGGTGTCGTAGGCGAAAGCATGGGTAAAGAATACTATCAAGCTCTCTTGCAGGAACAAGAAGAGCATTATCAAAACCGAGCTACCAGTCTGAAACGTCAGATTGCACAGTTAAAGCAGGAGCTTCAGGAAATGAGTGATAAATTGAAATCCCTGCAGGAAAAAAAGAGCCCAAGGGTCAATGGTATGAACTACCAGGGCACCAAAGAACAAGCATCCAATGATCTCCTAGAATTTCTTCATTCACAGATTGACAAAGCTGAGGTGAGCGTGGGGGCTAAACTGCCTAGTGAATATGGTGTCATTCCTTTTGAAAGCTTTACGTCCATGAAAGTATTTCAGTTGGAAATGGGGCTCACTCGGCATCCAGAAGAGAAACCCGTTAGAAAGGATAAGCGAGATGAATTGGTGGAAGTTATTGAGGCTGGCCTAGAAGTTATCAATAATCCAGATGAAGAAGATGGACAAGATGAAGATGATGGAGTAGGAGAGAGGCAGCTGTATAGTGAAAATGATTTCATAGAAGGTATGTTTATTACAAGCTTTCCAGCCCCATAACAGAATGTCGTAACAGGCATTTAATGGTATTTGTATTTTTAGGGGGTTTACCTGCTTGAATATAGTCTTGAATAGATGTTACACAGTAAGAACCTTTATTTCTAGTGATGAGAATATTACTGTTTCATTATCTTGTGTTTTGAGTAGGGAGCAAGAAATCCATTTCAGAAGGGCTCACCAAAAGAAGTGTACAGGATTGTCCTGGGTTCAGCTGCAGCAGTCATTCTTTTTCTCCTTCTTAGTAGCTGGTGCAGTGCTGTGTTTTTGACTTTCAGCCTGGGAAGACCACTGATGACACCGATGCTTTTAGTTGCTGCTAAGTATGTTTACTCTGACGAAGGACTTTCTCAGTCTCATGCTCTGCCAGGGAGGAGAGGAAGCCGGGAGGAAGCAGAGGCAGGACACCTGACCCAAACTGGCCAAAAGGGTATTCCATACCACAGCACGTCATGACCAGTATAGAAACTGGGGAGAGTTACCCGGAAGGCCCAGATCGCTGCTCAGGTCGGGCTGGGTATCGGTTGGTGGGTGGTGAGCGGTTGTGTCCTCTCCCCTTGTTATTTCCTTTATCATCATTATTATTAGTAGTGGGTTTGTATTATACCTTAGTTACTGGACTGTTCTTATCTCAACCTATGGGAGTTAATTCTTTTGATTCTCCTCCCCATCCTTCTGGGAGTGGGGGGTGTAAGGGAATGCCTCCTTCGTATCAGCCTAAAATACTGAGGCATCCATAATTTCTTGTAGCTGAAGTCAATGTAACACAACTGCTTATGGTACTAAATAACTGAAGGACTTCCAGTGAAACTGGTGGCAGCAGGAGGGAGAAATTGATTAATTTCTCTTGTTTCAGCATAGTTAAGCCAGTCAGTATGAAGCTACAGGGGTTTTCTTCACTCATCTCTATGCCACTTTTAGTTAGTATTCAGGCTATTGACTCTCTTAGATTTGACACGCTTACGTCGGAGGGAGATCATTGGTAGGCTTAGGTGTTCTGGTCTTGTCAGCTGAAGAACTTTGTGTCCTTCATGGTATACAAGTTACAGGGTCTGTTGAGCTGTGTTACCTTGAACTGTTCTCTTCTTCTGTCTTCAGTTCTCTCTCAGTACTTGTAAGTTTAATTATAGGACACACATTATTATAAAAGTAAATACAGAAGATATGTTTTCACTTAGTGACACCCTTAAAAGATGCATTAGTGATAATTTCTACAGAAGCTGGCTTTCAAGGTACAGTAAAATGCTGATGGAGATAATCAAAACCTGTCCTGGTACCTCTTTTTTTGTGTTTACAGTATTAAAAACAGTTCATGCTGCCATAAAAAAGCCCCACAAAATTTGGAGCATGTTATAAAAGCATTACTGTAAAAGGGATTCTGGATCTCAGCAGTACTGATGTCTGCATTATTAAGCAAACATGCTGGAGAAAAGTACCGTTGGCCTTGAAATAATCAGTTCTTTCAGTCTGAGATGATGTAATTGGTCTGTAGCACAAAAAGTCTCTGCTTTTAACAGCTACTGTGATTAAAGTTTAATGCAAGTACTCTTCTTCGTTCCAGAAGGTGGAACTGGGCGTAGAATCCACTCAACTGTGTCAGTATAACACAGCTGACACAGTGTTAGGCTCTTGGTACGGTTTTTACTGAAAATGGTATTATTTTGTCTGGAGGTAGTCATCCTTGCAGTCTTTTAATTGTTTTCTTTCTATATTAAGTGTGCAGCTGCTTTTTCTTTGCTGTTACTTTAGTGTATTTTTAATTTTTACCATTACTGAAATAGCAGTTTATTTTTCTTAGTGCACTGCCTATAATGACTGCAGACCTCCAAGAAACAAAAGCAAGCAGATTTAAGACCTTAAAATTGTACTTCATGCCTCTGCCTCTGTTCACACCAGTATATTGATAATTGGTTTTGGAAATCAGACTGCTGTAATGGCATTTTTTTCCAGCATAGGGTTACAGGAACTGTAGAAAAAGTATTTTTATGATGTTGCTCATGTTGGGTGTTGCTCATGTTGTATTACTATGGCTAGTTGCCATCAGTGTGGGGTTTGTTTTTTTTTTCCAGACAGAAGTTGTGAGTTTTGTTGGGTATTTTATGTTTCTGTATGTGTGAGTACTACTCGTTAATTTAGACACTAGGCCAGCAAAAAAAAAAAAAGGCTGCTTTGGAATAGTAACACTTTTTCCCCCCCTGTTGTTCTAAAACGTAGAGGTGAGAAATAGAACCAGCTGGCAGTGGTACCTGCAGGTCCGTTGCCTTGCAGCCCTGTGACTGGGCTCTAGTGCGCTATCTCCCTTGTCAGTTTGTGTATCCTCGTTTGATGGAAGTCTAGTTGGAAAGCTGATGCCTTTCTAGTTTGAAAACACTGTTCCCGTAAGCTATCATAAGTTGGTAGTTTCAAGTTACACAGTGGGCCTGGTGTATCTACTTGAAGTTGCAAAGAGGTCCTGTAACTGTCCATAGAGCACAACTAAATTATTGCTGGATTAGCATTACTCATTTAGAGAAACAGTTTGTTAAAGATGACTTGAGATAAACAGTTTAAGTTCTGTGTCTTTTAATTGCTAATAGATTATTTTGTGATAAGCCATTTAGGACTAAGACTAGAATTTTATGCAGTTTGAAACGGGAAAACAGGAAGCAGAGAAACTGTGGATTTTTTTTTTTTTTTTTTGAGCGGGGGGTTCTGGGGCAAAAGAGAAAACATGATACTGCATTAGTTCGTGCATAACCATCATTAATATAGATAGGACAAAAGCAAAATCAGTTTGATTTGCAGGATTTCTTTTTTTCTCAAAACTTAACACATACCTATCTACTGAAACTTACCCACAAAACTATGTCACAAGTACAAGCTAAACTAGAAACGGGCATTTTTATTCTAGAAGTGTTCCAGCTTCCTACCTCAACAGGCTAAATTTTCATGTAGGTAAATGATGTTTGGTTCTGGGAATTATTTTTTCCTAGACTTGTGAAATACTAGACTTAACCTCGAACTAAGTCATCTTTTGTGATATGCGCTTTCAGGTGTATTAGTAAATCCTCAGAGAATTTGGTGGCTGTTTAAGTAAGTCTAGAATCTCTTACAGGCAGTTTTACCTAATGGTATCTCTTCACCTCCACTGAATATGTCTGAAGTTTTTCCCCAGCATTTACATTGCCTCTGATGCCCACTGTCTCGATTTGTAAAAGCATCAATAAATTTTTTCTTACTATTTTAGGATTTAACTATATTGGAGTCACTTGTGACAACAAAGACTAACGACATGAATTTAAAATTAATCTGCCTTCTGTGTATTTAAATTTGTCTATTCTAAAAATACAAATTTCTAAATAAGCTTTTCTGAAAAAGTACACTTAATTACCCAATAATACACAATATTTGAATCTTCTGGTTTTTCTTACTTTAGCACTGCGTAGGCCACAGAGCTTCAAAATGCATGCTGATGGGTGCTAACTTTGTTGTTGCTGCTCTGTTTTTTTATTTTCGGCCCTCAATTCAAAAGTTCATGCAGCTCCTTTGCTGCATACTCAGCTTCTGTAGTCTGTACATGAAGGTGTTCTGGCTTCAACCAGTGGTGCCAGCAAGCTGTAGCCACAAGAGTGAGCAGCCTGTTCAGGTGTTATCCAAACTGATGTTACTTTTTTAGTGTTGCAAGACAAAGTAGTGATCCTAATCTGTTTTGGAGTTGTGATTAGGCAAACCTGTCACAGCGACGACATGGCTATTGGCAAGCATCGAGCAATAACACCAAGTAAAAAAAAGGTTTGCAAGTACGCATTACAACTGCAAAGATACTTTCTGAAAGCTGAAAATTTTTTTTCACACTGCTTAATTGACTTGCTTTGCTGATGAAGAGAAAACCAGTAAGTTTCTTAGCTCTGTAGGGCTCTGTTTGCTGCATTGTTACCTTGTTTTGCTTTGCTGCAGCCCAGATGGAAACTTCCAGAACTCTTAACGGTAACAACAAAAATCTGACCTTAACAGAAGTCTTGTTCTGCAGTTGCTGTTAGAGAAACATTTTGAAGTTTATTTTTTTAAAATATTTCCATTAGATCTGAGCATATGAGAAATGGGAGTATGCTGTTCTCTTGGATGATGAGTATTCCTAGAGAGGCTAAAAGTTGCAATATTATGTATTTTCACAAATGAGGGGGTTTAGGACTATAAACAATGAACCTAATTGCTGAATTGGGCATTCTAAAATAGTCCTGGATTAAAAACAGGTTTCTTTGAGATCAGTATTTGATATTTAGAAACAGAGGATAAGCACAATGGGAAGAGCATAATAATATAACCTCTGCCAATCCCCTTTCTGCAGAAGCGTAGGACATTAAGTCTTGAATAGTGATGCAAAACTCACTGAAGAGCTTTCATGGACATATGTACTATCGGTGTAACTGGTTTATTTGGGTTACGTTTATCAGTGTAATGCATTTATTTTATCAAGAGATTAAGAGCTCTTCCATTGGTTAGATGTTTAACGTTTGGAAAATAGAGGCATTAGCGTATTTTCAGTTAGCTAATCTCTAATGAAGGTCTTGTTATTCAATGTCTACCAGAATTTGAGTGCTTCTGTTTGGGTCCATTTCTCTTACTTCTGTGTTTCCAGTTATAACTGGGCAAAGGCCAGAAACTGTCTTTAGGTCTGAATCTCAAGGGAAGACTTTCCACCCATCCTTGGCATGAAAAGGTTGTTTGTCCCAGCACTACAAGCTCAGAGTCAAAACTTCCAGAGTCCTTGCCATCCACAGAACAGTTTTGACTGCTTATCATGCAAACACCCCCTTTAGTATGATCTGCATAAAACCAGAAACTGGCCAGTGTCCTGGGAACTTCAACAGACAATTTTAGTATACAGAAATAAGGGACATCTCTTAAATTCCATTGATGCTTTCTTGGTAACATTCTTGGTAGTTGTAAAAAAAAGTAATAGTATTCAAGGCAATAGAAGAACAGCTTTTTGGCTTTAATAGTAATTGATTCCCAGTATTCATAGATTTGTTCGGTAAGAAACAGAACTCTGAGAAGAAAGTAAAGCTTCATGGACCAGGAATAACAGCTGTTAAATTATTTCTACTGCTTTTTACCTCTTTGCTTATGGAGCTCTATCTTGGATGGCAGCCAGCATATGCTAGTTGGAAGGTGAGATAGCAAGTTTTATTACATGAGTCAGTCCCAAGTGTTAAAAACCTGAATACACTAAGAAGTAAAACAGATGTGGGTTCTTTTTCTGGCTGTTCTCAATTCTGGCTTCTGTGTGTAGAAGCTTTAATCCCATAAAAGTATTCAAATTAGTAAATTGCCTATGGAGGTTAGCTCACAGTGAGGAGCACATACTATTTTAAGTGTGGCACTGGTAGGATGCTGAGATTCAAAAGTTGGGAATCTCCTGGCAATTAAATGTTGGCAAGGCACTACTGAAATTCATATTAAGGTCTTTAGGAACTAACAGCAATGGTGGGTTTTTTTGGTTATTTTTATCTACAAATTTTTTTTCTGTACTGCAGCCTTCTGTTTTAAACTGACAGCCTGTCCTTTGATTAAAGACAGACAACTGTGACATGCATTTTGAAACTTCACTTATATTATAAATGGTATTTTCATCTGTAAACAGCTATTAGATACTAAGGAATGTAATCTACAATACTGAATGTGAATCTATTCAGGATTACTGGTACAAAGTATTTACTGTATATTGCATGAAAGCATGGTGCACAAATGCCATGGTGGCATCAGCTGCTCCAGTAACCAAGAAGCTGTTTTTCAAGGTACAGTGCTAGAATTTGCAGTGCGAAGGGTTGGAATGGCAAAGGATTGAGAGGGATTTAAGATCTTTCTTTCTTCTGAGAGTCAACACTGTGGACTTCCATTGTTCAAAACACCCTTTTCAGTACTTGTAATCAGTACTGATTTGAAACTGTCATGCTGAGCATAAAAATATGGTGCATATTTTATTCAGCTTTGTGTTCACAGAAGAATAAATACAGTTTTCTGTTTTTAGCGTGCATTTCAGAACTTTATTCTGAGGGTAAAAAGCATTTAAGTTGAAAAGCTGTAATCAGATACCACTGACTTGCAGTGTTAAGGCACCGGCTTGTTGCTACACCTCCTCTCCCACAGACCATGTGTGGTGGTCGTCCATGTCCCCTATCAGGTCTGCCAGTGCACACTCTCACCTGCAAGAAAGGGTGCGTTACAGAGCAGAATATTGGAGCCCGCCAGGGAGCTTGCTGTGAAAGAGTGGCTGTTGGGGAGATATGAGATGGGGGCAGAAGGAGGGAACATCACTGAATGAGACTGGATTTGGTTTGGGGAGAGAGGCTGGAGCAGGGGAACATGGAGGGAGTTAGGAAAAAAGTTGGGACAAGGTGGTGTATGCATTCCTTGCTTCATGTGTTGAATGAGAAGGTAATGGAAGAAACTGAGCATGGAGGAATACTTGCCTGGGGATAGGGAAAAATTTCTAGTTCAAGGTAGACAAAACTAAGCTGCTCTAAGTTTGAGGACTGTTCCCTTCATATACCTTGACCCCTCTTGATTTCAGTTGCAAAAAGGACAATAGCCATAAAAAGGAGAGTATCTATACTGAGCAGAAAAGACAACCCTTTGTTGGTTTAAGCTTTCTCAAGTGGTCTCTGTTAGAGAGCTGAACTTAAAGTTTGGTTCATAGCATAGCTTAAGTTTCTTCTCTATATATAATGCACCTTTTCCTTGTGAGTGAGAGAGGAGAGCAGAGATGGGATGAACGTAAGGCAATTTTGTTGGGTGATTTTTCCCATCATCTTCTCTTGCTCTCAGGTTAGTACAGATACTGAATTAACAACACAAAGCTCAGTTCAGTCAATGCCACAGATGAATCTTGGTCTTTTCCTTTGTGGTGTAAAATTAGTGAGGCTGTTGGCTTAAGTTGCTTCCTTGATGTCCTTAAGTGAACCATATTCTGAATGGTTTAGATTTTCCCACTCATTAAGAGTAAAATATCTCTAAAATAGGTAATCCGATTTCTAGAGGACTGCTGGTGTTTTCTCAGTGTTACAGCTATGCAGAAAACTTTTGCCTTTGTCCTTAGAGGACTGTGGCTATAGTAAACCACCACTGTCTTTATTTATCAGAGAGAAAGCACTGTAGCTAGTGGTCAGCAATGAAAGCAATTTTAGAGTATTCCAGCATTTATCACACAAATTATGTTTTTTTAGATATCACATTTCAGATTTTGCAGGCTTTGTCAAGCAAGTTACTGTGTCATTTGTTCTGCCCACAGCTTGTGAGGTGTTGATTGCTGGCCGGATGATCTGAGCTTTTACTGTGGACTAGTTCTGGGGATGATCCTTAATGAAGGGCTTAAAACGTAGGCAGTATTAGATTTCAGCCATCCTTTTCCATATCAAATAGTTGATTTCCCTTTCTGTTGGGAAGACCAAAATAATTCTGTCTGAGAAGTTGAAGTAGGGCCGTAAAATCTGTTGTGGTCCCTAAGAAACAAGGGAAGCAGGAGTTTGTTTGGGACTGTTTCTCAGATCTGGTCTAGGATGGTAGGAAGTTACTGTGATTATTGATGGTTTGTAGATTGTTTGTGTGTTTTTAGGAAAAACCCAGAAACTTTTTCCCTAAAACTTTATTTTTTTCCACTTCTCTAGTTCTCAGGAAAAACAGTGTGTCTGAAATACAATTGCTGGAAGCTTTGACTTTACAAATTACTTGTGTGACTTATTCCTCAGGTTACTATCGTACAGAAAGAGATAAAGGGACACAGTATGAGCTGTTCTATAAGAAGATGGATGGCATGGAATACAGACATGTCACCTTGTTCCGACCTTTTGGACCTCTTATGAAAGTGAAGAGTGAAACAGTTGATATTTCTAGATCTGTCATTAACATTATTGTCCCTCTTGCTGGAAGAACTGAGGCATTTGCACAATTTATGCAAAACTTTAGGTAGGTGCATAAGATTATATAGTGAGCTTTATTGCTGATTTTCAGTATTTTGTTTCCTTTTCAAAATGAATTTCTGTTCTGGTGGATTTGCAACAGAACTAATGATTCCAACATTGTGTGCAGCTTCCTTGGGATGTTTCTAATTGAGCCTACTGCATGGAGAAAACATTCCTTCTAAAATGATTTAAGAGATTGTCAAATTGCACTTCTAGACCAAATGCCAGAGCTGTTGTGAACCTGGACCCCGATGATCTTGATCATCATTTTCATATTTACATCAGCTTTTGAGCTCTTGTTTATAAAATAAGGTGTTGGAATGAGACACACAGTATTGGAATTGCAATATTCTGATTCAAGTGGGAAAGATGGGGAAAGAGAAGGGAAAACATATTCCTTGTTTTCTTTAGAAGCTAGCTGAAGTCTAACCACAATACTTAAATCTGCTAATACTTTTACGTGTAATAGCTTTTAAGCACCTGAAGCTTCTGTTGTGTTGCAAGTAATTATTAATATCAGTTTATGTTTGTACTTACAGGGATGTGTGTATTCATCAGGATAAGCGTGTTCACCTCACAGTGGTGTATTTTGGACAAGATGGGCTATCAGAAGTAAAAGGCATTCTAGAATCTGTAGCTAGGTAAGTGTGACGATCCAGCATCAGTCAATGCAAACAATATTGATTGGCGTTTAAAATGTTCTGTTGTTTGCTTTTTTTTTAAAAACGAATAAATAATAAAAACTTACTCAAGTTTCTAGTCCATTACAGGTTAATAGGAAAAATAAGCTTTACTTATAGTACACTGGGTTTTGGTTGGCATTTTACCACTTAAGTTGCAAAAGTCTCCTGAAGACTACTAAAAATCAAGTTACAGGCCAAAAAAGACTAAAGGCAGTGGCTTTGAGGTTTCTATCTGACAGCCCAAAAGCCAGCAGGAGTGAGTTTTGCAGTGAATATTCAGTCATGTTAAGCGATTGCTCAGAATCTGAAACTGGATTTGGTTTGGGGAGGGAGTTCTTTGGAACTGGGATATACGTTTCGATCATTCATTGGAGATTCTATGTTATTTGAAAAGGAAGAGAAACGTAGTCAAAGTAGGCTGGTCAGCTGCTGAGTCTGAGAAGTTAAGCTTTGCTCTGTATCCTCTAGGCAATTGGGCCCATACTTACCCTCTGCTATAAACCAACTTTAAATGCAGTTTCATTGTGGCTGTCTCAGCAAATAACATTACAGTAGTGTGGGTGTAAAACTGCCAAACGTTGCTGTGGTTTTTTTTCTCCAGAGGGATGGGACAGGTAATAGCATCCATAAGCTGCAGCTAAGGGGCACGTTCTCTGCCTGAGCTCTTGTGATCTTCCACGGCCTGGTAACTTGTTACCCTTGTTAGCCAAGAATCAGCTGGGATCTCACATAGTCCCCGTTTCACAATGCTGGCCAAAGCTCTACTTGATGAAATGTATTAGGCATAGGCTGTTGTGTCAATAGCTTAAATGTGATAGTGAGTTTGCCTGGTGTGCACAGACATCTTCTAGGAAGGGAGGAGTGCTTCTGCCTTCCTCCTGTAGAGCCTCCCTAGTACCTAGCTTGCTGAATGCTGGCAGCCTCTGTTTCTGAGGCTGTTCTGCTGCCTGCCGTGCTCCCTGTGGTACGTCCTTCTCTTCTCCCAGCACTCGGTCAGATTCAGTGCTGAGTACTCACTGGTTCTGAGTACTCACTGGTTCTTTTACCTTTTTAGTGGGGCTACTGTTGCATATCTTCACTCTGTTCTCTGCAAGCATTGCCCTCTGAAATGTCTCCGAAGTAGACAGTTTTGCTTGAAGATATTCCCCTGCTGTATATCCAATTGCCCTTTGCTGTTCCTTCCATCTTCTGTGATGAATACAGGCATGTGTGCTACTGATATGAAATAGTGAGAGGAAGCAAACTGACTATGTCATGGTGGCATCACCTCACAGGTGGCCTTTTGCCTTATGAGTTTGGTGATGCCAGTACTCTGGCTTTCCGCTTGCCCTTCTCACTGATGTAGTGAAGACAGAGAGATTGCTTTATTAGTCAGGACTTTGTAGTTTATGGGGACAAAAATTAGAAGCATTGTAATTTCAGAGAACACGTCAATTCATGTCAGTTGCCAAAATGCCTTTTTAATCTGTCTGGATAACTAAATGAAAAGTGAACTTACAACATAAGACTGAGGCCATCTTCCTTACGATGTCTAAACTCTGACACTTAAAATAGACAACTATCTGGAACACTTTTCATATTTCTGGAATAAAATTACTGTAAAATGCTGAAAAAGTATAAATTATCCATTCTGCCCCACCACCAGATTTATTTTGTGTTTGGATCTCTTTTTCTTCTAGAGAAACAAGCTTCCACAATTACACACTTGTCTCTCTGAACGAGGAATTTAACCGAGGCCGAGGACTTGACATGGGTGCCAGAGCCTGGGAAAAGGGCGAGGTCCTGATGTTCTTTTGTGATGTTGATGTTTATTTCACAGCTGAGTTCCTCAACAGTTGTCGCTTAAATGCTGAGCCTGGTATGTTCCTTTTACAGTTGCTGTAACCCAGTCTTGTTGCCTTGTTTTGCTTAAACTGACCATATAAAAACTAGCTTGAATGGTGGAGATTATTCAGTACTATGAACCAGTGATGGAAGATGAAAAATACTCTGCACACGAAGTAAAACAGTATTTAGATTGAGAGATTTTGTCTTAGCATAGCTTGTTTTAAGAACATGTCTTTCTTTACAAGAAGTATAATTTTCTTAAGATTTGGTTGTCTAAAAGAAAGTTAGACAGTTTAATTGCTTTATCAATTGGTCTGCATGTAAATTTGTGTAACAAAACTCAGTGTAGCGCTTTCAGTGGAAGATTATTTTTGTTATACTGAAATCTATAACAAGTTCGATTTATGTCTCCTTGCACTTGTGTGGCCAAGACACGTCATATATGAAAGTTTCAGTAGAGCTGCACCATGTGCTCCGTATAGAGACTGAGCTAATGTTCCATATTTACATCCCAAGCTCTGAAATTTTCTGATCATTTTTCTCAAGTTTGTACGAAGCTTGCTTGTTCTACTTGCTTCTGCCAAGAAGGATAAAGCTTTCTCAAATTAACAAGACTGCTAGCTAAGACCACCTCCTGCCAAACATTTGCTTGGTGGTTGTTTTTTTTTCTCCAAATGTCGATTTGGAATGAATAGATACTACTTCTTCACATAATAAACAGGCAAGAAATTCTGCGATATTTGGATGCTGTTTCTTGCTTTTTCTTTCATTTTTGTCTGTCTCTGCACTTCATGAAACAAGTTATATAAATAATTGGAAAAGCTTTGGAGGGGAGCATCTTGTGAGCTTTCGCAAGGAAGGCAGTCTGAGAGACTGCTTGACAATTCATACTGACAGTTTGTCACCTTTGCTTCAAGTGAGATCTGTAATTGCTTCTCGCACATTCAGAGTTCATGCCCAAATCAGGGTATTGAGTATTCTTATGGGATGTAGTCAATACCTTTGTAGCACTGGCAATCCAAGAGATCCTTGAAAAGTATTTATCTGGCTTTTGTAATAGGCATAGGAGTGGTGTCACAGCATAATCAGAATACTCATGATGCTTAATACCCTTGCAGGACATCCTAGATGTACACGCTTTTAAATGCTTGTGCAAAGAGGAAAGCTCATAAAACTAACCTTTGCAAGGTGTCACTTGGACTTGGTTTTTAGCTTTACTGCGTAACATTATTGCAGGGATTTTTCACTGTCATCTAATGTGATACTGTGATATGTAATAAACATACAATATCTTATACGTATATAAGTATGTATAACTATATATAAATATGTATCTGTAGAGTATATATAAATTGTGTACATCTATTTTTTTTAATCCTGTGGACTCCTGTCCCATTAGATGTTACGGGCTACCTAAATGTTAAATTCTAGCAGCTAGAACTTACGGGCTTGTTTTCACTTTGATGGCTAATAGCTAGTATTCTACATAAAGAGTATTTCTAGTTTTCACTTGCTTTCAGGAAGTGTGCCCACAGTGAGTAACAATTATCTTTTGACTTCCAGGGAAAAAGGTGTTTTATCCTGTGGTATTCAGCCTTTATAATCCTGCTATTGTCTATGCCAACCAAGATATACCACCCCCTGTGGAGCAACAATTGGTAAGCAGTGTAATTTATTCTGAATAGAAATTAGTTATGCTTTGTATCAAAACAAAATTAAGTGTAACTTGATAGTCTATTTGAGATATCTTACAACCTTTGGCAGTGCATATCTAAACACTTTATGGGCAAAGCACTTGGAAGAAAAGCTTACCAAATAGGAAAAAAACTCAGATGCACTTGGAGTTCTAGATTTAAAAAGAAAATGCTTTAGTCAAATCAAGTTGGTGATTCTGATCTATTGTTTAATTCTGGCTTGGATAGCCACTATTTTATGAGGATAGTGGCATAACATGGCAGCAATTTTCACCTTAGGTTCCAGCAAACAAAGTGGCAAAAACCTATGAATGATGTTTGATAAGCTTCCCTCAGTATGGACTCCCTTTGCTAAGTAGTTGCAGGAAGTGTGCCATGTAACTCAAGGTGGGCTAAGATGTCTAGTCGGTTGCTTTTTTTTTTCCTGTGTGCTGTGGACAGCTGTACCCTGTGCAGGTTGTTTCTATACCTTTGCCATCCAACATCTGCCAGAATCATTGGCTGTTATACTGCTAATTTCATCTCACTTTTGAGTGAGAAACACTGCTTCTAGGGAACCTTGTAGTCAAAGCAATAAACAAACCCCACAAACATTCAAGAGAATAGGTTTAAGGATCATTCAGGGCTCAGCAGAAAGTACTATATTTCTGGGTCTTTGTTGCCTGAAGATGGAATGGCCACGGTCAATGATGTCCAGCCTGAGTCTTTCAAGAGACTGCGTAAATGAAATTGGGTTTTGCATCTGGACTTTGGCATAGGCAGGTTTGGAGGAGAGAAAGGAGAATGCAACACAGCCTTACAAAAATAAAAAACCATAATAACTCTCACCCCTACGTTTCTTTCAAGGATCCTAGTGAATGTAGGAGGGAAAGTTTTACATATGCCCTCAGGTAGTCACAGCTTGACAGCTTTGCTGTTTACTTTTTTGAATTGAAAAACATTATGATTGCTGACTTCAGTCACAAAACGTACTTTTCTTTTTCTCATCGTATCAGAACAAGAGACAAATGTGGCCTTAGAAACCAGGTAGGAATTGGAGTGTTGGGAACAAATGATTTGCCAGTAGATTACCAAAAATTTACTGCTTGGTCTGAGCAGATACATAGAAAATAGAGGTGGTATGGCAGAAAGGAAACTTAGAAATTGCAGTAAGAGGAAGTATTTGGAATTAGATGGCAAAGGGTGAAGTGAACAGCAGGTAATTAAGAAGCCCACATCTGTGCATTACTTGTAAATGCTAGAAGTGTTATATGCTGTATCCTGCACTGAGCGAATGACTGGAAGAGCTTAGTGTTCTACAAAACCAATTGCAGTATATCTCCTTCATTGTATTTTGCATTTCAAAGTGAAACTGTTTTATAATTGCAGGTACACAAGAAGGATTCTGGTTTCTGGCGGGATTTTGGCTTTGGGATGACTTGTCAATATCGGACAGACTTTCTGACTGTTGGTAAGATGAAAATGTAAAAAAAAAATTGTCTTTAAAAATTGATTCTTAGTTCTTCTCTAATGACAGTAAAGTAATGCATTTATTAATTATTATCCAAGCTCAGCAGTCAGGTTTGCTTGACAAGTTTGACCAATGAGATAAATTGGATTTTTTTTTTTTTTTTTAGCTTTTCATGTCCCATCTGATGAGTGTTGGTTAAAAGTCACAGTATTTCACTATAGATCCTCTAAAAATCTTTAATTTTCTTGTACTTTGACTTTCTGAAGCAAATTAATCCAGTTTAAGAAATACATCCCTGAAATAAACTACTAATGTATATGGGAAGTGTTCAAATTCTTTGAAATAACCTTGAGTAGTTGAAGAGTTGTTCTAGTCTTTAGCAGTATGCTTTACCACCCCCTTGTGGCATGCTCTTAGAACTGAGAACAAGCTAGGTGTGCTTGGAAATTTGGAAAACCATCTTGAAGACAGCCTGCCAGAAGGCATAATAGCCCTGTGCGCTGTAAAACGGCTTGAATGCAGGCTGATTTCTGATACCAGTCATATTGCCATCTGTAAGGTGTATGCTAAAGGAAGTCTTCATGAGTTTGGAAACTGTGCATGAGTTTGGGTCGATTTATACTGTGGTTCTGGAAAGGCAGGAGAACTTAAAATGCTGGAATGGGTTCCTTAGTCTGGATTTTTGAGTTGTGACCTATGGAGTAGTTGCTGGCATTTTTAGAGAGGGCTTTTTGTATGGTGCATGACTGCTTCATTTTCCAGCTGCTAAAATTTATTCTGATTGCTAAAAATAACCCAAAAGCATAGCCAGTGAGATTTGCATACAGTTTTCTGCAGCTGTCACATGGGATGTCATGCATAATGTGATTTGGAGACACTGTTCTAAGAGACTTTCTGAAGCCAGCATGATCTGTGTCCTGGGCAGTTTCCACCACAAAGGATGTGGTATGATTGAAGCTCCTCTCCCTCAATTTGGCATGCTTTGGCATGGAAAACTTAAATTTAATTGCTCCAGAATTGCTGGTATGTCACACCAGATTTGATAATATGTTACACAAGGAGCGTTGCTCTTTTTTTTGCCTCGCATCTAGCCTGTATGCCAAAATAATTTTTTTTCTGATATTGTTTTTTATAGGGGGTTTTGACTTGGAAGTGAAAGGCTGGGGCGGTGAGGATGTTCACCTTTACAGAAAGTACTTGCATGGGGACCTTATTGTGATCAGGACACCCGTCCCTGGTCTCTTTCACCTCTGGCATGAGAAACATTGTGCAGATGAACTCACTCCAGAGCAGTATCGCATGTGTATCCAGTCCAAAGCCATGAATGAGGCCTCTCACTCGCACCTGGGGATGCTGGTCTTCAGGGAGGAGATCGAGACTCACCTCCGTAAGCAGGCTTATAGGACTAACAGCGAAGCAGCGGGTTAAATGTCAACCCTGTGACTTTTGATGACTTCAAATTCACAGTGAACCAGCACCATTTTACAGCCTTAATTCAGCTTAACAATGCAGTGCCTCTCTTTTTCAGTGAAGAAGAGTTTAAAGGGTTTTTGGTTCTTGTATTTGTTTTCTGAGTAATTCTTTGACTGTTACGCTGTTACCTAGATATCTTGCAAGTTCAAGCACCTCAAATAAATTGGAAAGTGTATGTAGTTCAAGGAAAGAGACTTCAGTATGGATTGGAAAAATCAGTGGAATGTACAACTCGACACTTTTCCACATGGTACATTTAAATTTTTATATTTGCATTATTTCAAGAATTAAATAATCTTTTGTGTTGTCTTGAGTATTTTCAGTCTGTATGGCTCACTGCACTGTGACTTTAGAAGGACACTATACTTACAGTCCATTGTAGAAACAAGAGAAAGGTGTGAAAAAGAATTTCACCATGAAGGTTGTACAGGATGTGCTGACTGGTATGTCAGCTGTTCAGGTTGTGGTTTCACAGCAAAGGCTTGGTGCCACATTTGCTGTATTAACAGACATTCACGTGGTTGAATATAGAATAATTCATATGGGTGGAGGGGAATGAAAATCTTTTAAGTGGAGTTACAGAGCATATAATGTAATTTCACACTGCAAAACAGACACAACCTTCTTATCTCTGTGATGGATCAGACCAGTTGGGAACGTAGTTCCAGTTGGGTGCTTCTGGGTCTGTTTTTTTCCTACAATAGATGCCACATCACAGAATCCCTTCTATGAACTGAGCTGTGCTATTAAACTCATTTGTTTAAAGAGTTTTGGCTCCACTCCTCCTTATTCAAAGGTCCTGTGTGTACATCCTTTAAGTTGAGGAACTAGTTTTCATTCCCATATAAATTTATTAGAGGCTCATTTGCTATTATGCCAGTATTGTCCTTTGCTTTCTTTTTCTGGCATTTTCCTGACATGTTTTTGGAAGGCCATCATATACTCTCAGCTCTTTCTGTGACTGAAAAAGCAAGTGCTATTACAGTCTTTTCTCATACAATGGTCTCCATTCCACTGATTGTCTTAGTAGCCTTATTCTTCACTTTTTCAGTTTGAGGGCATTTTAGTTGGGGGTTTTTCTCTCTTTTTTTTTTTTTTTTTTTTTTTCTTGTTTGATTGCTTTTTTTTTAAGCATGCATAAGCAGAATTATGCTGTGGTCTCATTAGTGCCTTGTATAATGGCACTACTACTTTGCTACTTTTCTTTTGGGTATTTTGGCATACATAAGCAGTTTAAATTCAGGCAGGTGATTTTTCTCCATGTTGTCCTATATGCTACCATATGGCATGACTCGTTTTTAATACACATGTTTATAGACTGAATGCCAAGAATGCTAATTCAGTGGTTAAGCCATTTGCATGGTCTCCACTGAATTTGGAAATGAGTTGAAACCCCTTCTCAAACCAGGTAATAAAGATCTGTTTATGAATTCAGTTTGCTTCAAGAATTCTGAAGGCAACTAAAGATATAAATGGTTGATTTCTGAATAGCAGATATGCTGTGCAAATACTTGCGGGCACTGATCCTTTTTGTATGTACATAAAATTTGCCTTTATGTAACTTATTGTGGAGAACAGTGTACTGTATTGTACTTAGAGTGAAGAGAATGCATTGCAAGACTTCTTGCAATATATATTCTCAATATAATAAATGGAATTTCTGCATTTTAGAAATTGTTTTAAGCTGTTTCTTTGAAAGATTTTTTTACAATAATATTTTACAAGGCAGATGACACTCCGGATTCAGGTAATGGTATTTGGAGCAAGAAGTTCAACCAGCTTGTTTTTCCATCTTAAATGAGTATCTACCCAGATCAGATAGGATAGTGCAGAGTTAGTTCCCCAGACAACTTAAACGTATACCAGATGTTATCTTACTTTAAGATGTCTGGTGGTTCCTAACAAAAATGATAAGGTACCAGTAAGGAAAAGACTAATACATAGGCATGACGATTTGGGGTAAAGATATAAGTGGAACTTTCTACTGAGCCTCCAGCCCTTAAAACTTCAGCTGCTTTTGCTGTCCTGGCTCTGCTGCACAAGCATAAGCATCAGAAATGCACCTCACTGACACCAATGCTGCTTGGCATATATTGGAATGGATACTGAGGTAGTGCAGAAGTGATAAATATTGCTGCTGCTCAGCTCTTACTGCTCAGCCACTACCCCAAGAAGGATCTGGTTGTCCCAGTTTCCATATTTTGTAAACACAGCAGACTGCTGATGCTGATAGCCAGGTTTCTTACTTTCTGCTATTTTCCACTGGGTGGTTGTGCTTATCAGCAAGGGTGAGGAAGGAGAAGTGTCGGTTGTCCACATCTGTGCCATCAAAAATGGTCTGCAGTGTTGATGCTGGAATCGGGGAAGTCAAGAGCCAAATGCAGTCAACAGGAACCTCTTTGAAAACTTTCTTTCCATTCGCCATGACAAAATGTGGAAGTGAATGTATTTGAGTTAAAAGGAAGTCAGAACTCTTAGAAATAGTTAACTCTTAGAAATAATAGAAATCAAGTTTGGGTATTGATGCAACTGATTAGTTGAGGACTCGAGCTCTCAGGGGCCCTTGCTGAGCCCTGGTTTTCTCCTGCTTTCTTCAGCTCACTGCAATAACTTACAGAGTAAGAACATGTTGCTATGGCATGCATCAGCTGGGCAGCTCGTTAGGAGCATAGGCAATCATCATGGGTGGCATTCATTGCAAAAGCCAGAGATCCTGGCACAAGCTGAGTGTTGTATTTAGTCAATGCAAGGCACTCGCAGCCCAATGGTAGTAGTAAGAAGAATAATAATTTTAAGGATTGAATCTCCTGGGATGCATTTTGCTGCTGCCTGGTACTGGATTCGGTACACATGCCTCAGTGAGTGCATCTGTAGGGAGGACTTTTTCACTGCTAATAATCAATCTGTAGAACACTTACAGCAGGAAAATACTTGGCTCTAATAGTGCTTTGCAGGTTGTGACATAGCTTATTAGCAACTTTGACATGGGAAATTAAATCAGTTACTTAAAACTGTTACTCATTTTACAATTTACAGTACCAGAGAATTATTACTAATCATGTACAGTTAATGTTCCCTAGTGTCTTACAATTTTACCTACTCATTTGTCTCTATTATATAATTAGTTTAGAAATTATAAATAGCTATCTTAGATTTTAATTGAATCTTAAATTAGTTTTTAAGTTGTTATGATTCTCAAGTATATTTAACTTGGCTATTTACACAGATGGATTATTTTGTGTATTTCAACAGGGATTCCCCAGAAGAGCACAGGATGCGTTATATATCCCTAGTAATCCCAAAATAGAGAAAAGGTCAAGACCTATAAATTATAGAGAGAATGATTCTGTTTACTGTACTGCTTTAAAAGTTACTTGGATTTATACAAATACATCATAAGATCACCACATGGTGACTGCTTTCCTGGTGCTGTTCTGCTTTTTATCATTTTTTGGGAGTTCTAGCAAAAAGTCCTCTGGAAGTGCTTCATTTTTTCTGGCTTCTGTGCAATAGACTCAGCAAAAGGCAGGGATAGAGCCCATTTCAAGACTGAAATTTTGCAGCTGCTGTCAGTTACTGCTGCATTACCCTAAGCTAACTGACCAGGTGCCTTCTCATCTATGTGGCTGTGCATGACAGTGGCACATTAATTATGCTCCTGAGCAGTTAACACAAAGTGGAGTCACTGACCAGCAATGGTAAGAAGTATGTATGAATCTGGAGACTCTGTTTTCCCCAAGTCCTTAGCATACCTAAAAGAAGTTGCACATGCTGTATTGTATCCTGAGAACTTGTATGGCTCACCTCCTTAAATCTCACATTCTGTTTCTTGTTCTGTGTTTCATCTCTCTATGTGCTACCTCCCTTATTAACCCAGTCAGCTTTTTCTTTGGTATGGCTCCTCCCTTCTTCCGACTCTGTGCTTCAAAGCCATCTGCCTTCCTTAAGCTCCAGTCCTGGTTCTTTGGCAACTTGAGAGCCGTTGGGGGCCCCAGCTGATGGAGCCATGGTGACACCCAGCAAGGGAAAGCCCAGCAGCCAGACCCTGCGAGCAGGACACTAGCTGCCAGGCAGTGTAGGAACTGCTCTCTGACATTTACCAGTTCTGAGAACTGGCTTTAAACCATGAAGGACTCTGTTTACGAGCTCTGTATAACAGATGAGGCTTTTTCTTATTTCTGTATTTGTCATATTTCCTGTTGAAATTCAGTAAACTGTTGTGGCAAAATGAAGTTCATGGGAAAGAGCAGTAATTTAGGACCTGATGTTTGACAGCATTGTTTCTGCTCTGTAATGGAAGTAGAAAAGACACAGTATGATATGCCTTTATTATAAAGTGAGTTTACAAGTTATTTCAGTTACATGAGTGCATAAAACTTCTGACCACATTTTAGCATAAGCACAATGCATTTGCATCTAGCTCCATGGCTGTTTTCTGGTTACTGCTGCATGCTGTAATGCAGGGTAGGTTTGTTCTTTCTCAGTAAAACGCATAACTCTTACTCAGAGGTGTTTCCTAACCTCTTCCAAAAAAGAGAAAAAATATTAAAATCTCTCACTTAAATAATAAAATCTATTCTCCATGTTGCTTTAGGCATAAATCTGGCTAAATGGCTGAAAGACGTTAGCTGTGTCTAGTCTCAAGCTTGTAACTGCTGTCAGGGACTGCAGGAATAATGTTATTACCATATGGATTTGCAGCTGTGGGCTGCCGGGTCGGATGGTGGGAATGGGACAGCTGGAGGCTGTGAACTCGGCATTGCAGTCCTCCCTCCCGGGCAGAAGCTCCCGGTGGCCAGTGTGGGCCATGGGAACTGTGTGCTACCTGGAAGCTCGTTGGAAGCCTGGGTCTGGGTTTTCTGTCTACTTTACTAACAGCCATGGAATTGCACTGGGAGAGAAGTTAAGCCCCAGGGGAGTCTCCATCCGCAGAAAAGGTTCAGAAGCTAAATTATGAATGCTTCAGTGTTGATAGCGAGCTCACATTATTGCTGGTCACCTCCAGCCTGACTGGGTGCAAACACAATGTCCATCAG